AGTTCGTGAGCTTTGAGAAGCTGGACTGTTACCTTGGGTCTGGAAATACTTAGTGATGCTTGTCAGAGTAGAGATCAAGTTTCCCCAGCAGCTCAGTTAATTACCCAGAACTTTCTGTATTGATTGAACTCTGAGACTCTGCATGACTCTCAAAGTCGGGGCTCATTTTATTCAATAGGAGGTATTTTCTCCCCTCTCAGCTGGATTTTCTGGGATTATCAAAAGAGAGCGTTTATACATGCACACGGGAGACCTGGCTTACACATTATATATTTCTCTCATTCAGAGCCATCAGAGCAATTATCTATTTCCTCGAACATGATGTCTTAGGATTGCACAGCAATCAAAGTTAGGATTTGTCATTTTCAGAAGCTGTGGATCTGATCAGCAGGTAAAGCATGCATTCTGTGACCCTGTTGGCTTTCCCATCTGTCCTGGGAGCTGCAGATGATGTGTCAGCACTGAGCTGCTGGTGAGCTACTGTCTAATGAGCAATGGGGAAAAATGGTTCTACTGGGCACAATTCCGCTTAGGGTGTAGTGTTCAGAGATACATAAAATCATGGCTACAGTCATCCATTCCTCGGAATAACTTAAACATCTTTGATAATTATTCAGTTCTTTCATAATCATGACACTGCTAATCACAATTCCTGATTAAATAGCAAGCTGGTCTCCTGATCTTCATTAAAATGTAGAGGCCACCTTCATTCATTGCTGGTGGAAATGTGAAATGGTGGAAAAGAGACTGGCGGTTCCTCAAAAAGTGAAACAGAGTTACCACCTGACCCAGAAATTCTACTCAGAGGTACACATATACCCAAGAGACCTGAAAACATATGTCTACACAAAATATGTGTGTGAATGTTCACAGCAGCATGATTCATAATCGCCAAAAGGTGGAAACAACCCAAAAGTCCACTGACAGACGAACAGGTGACCAAAACATAGTCTACCCATACGATGGAATATATTCAGCTATGAGAAAAAATGAAGCACTGACATGCTATAATCTGGACACATCTGGGAAAGGCCACATGTTGTATGATTCCACTTACATAAAGTGTCTAGAATATGAAAATCTATAGAGACAGAAAGAATATTAGTAGTTTCCGGGGTCTGGGGGCAGGGGCAATGGGGAGTCACTGCTAATGGGTATGGATTTTTTTGGGGGAGTCATTAAAACGTTCTGGAATTAGATAGTGGTGATGCTCGAAGGCTTCCTTTCCCAGCATCTGAGTCAACCAGCTGGGCTGAACTAATAATTGACTCTGGAGGGTGACCGGAG